CCCCACCACCACCATTATTTTGTGAAAGCAAAGACCATGGAAAATAAAACTATAGCACTTGCAATTTTTTTAAAATCACAAAATATTAGCATAGCTGTTTATCAAACTCAAATTAAAAATGCATTCAAATTAATTTTGGTGCATACAAATACAATACAACACCCATTTTTTTGTAAAATATAAAAGATGAGGTTGTGTCAAGTAAATCAATACCAACATGTCAAGCTTTAAAATGTGAAATGGAGAAAAACATTGGTACTCAAAATTGTCAATAGGTGACACTTTAAAAGCCTTTACAGGTGGGGGTGGGGTGCTTTAAAAACTTTTGGGGGGTATATTTATTGATTTTAATTAACTTTAATTTTTTCAACAACTTTATTACTTTATTACTATCACATAGGGGACTGAAAGGACACCTCTGCACTCCAATAATTAAGCACAGATCATTATTGACTAGATTCTTCTTTGGCTACTTTTGCTTAATTCCCTGCTTTCTGCTTAATTCACTGCAGAGTTGATTAGTGAATGGATGTTCTTTTCTCCCAACAGGCACCTGCCGTAGATGTCCTGAGCACACAGGTGGGGCAGCAGAAACTGTGATACATGGTGGGGTAGTCAGGAGAGTGGGGTGTGTGTGTTTGCAGCCAGTTACAGAACCTGTGGAAATGAGCAAGCAGCTTTAAAACCACCTGAATCACTTTCATTAGAAAACTGACAGCCTGCTGGCCAAATGTAAACAATAGCGTCCATGAGTCTATTGGTAGTGCTGCAAGAGTCCAGAGCTTACTACGCATGCGCCAATGGCACGTTGCCGCAAGAGGAAATCCGTGCCAACTGCGCATGCGCCAAAGACGCGTCAGTGCGCCAACCCGCGCATGCGCAGAAGACCTGATGGAAAAAGGCAGGAAAATGCCCAGGAGGAGTACAGGAAGTGACCTCAACCTGATGGGAAAAGGCGGGAAAATGCCCAGGAGGCGCACAGGAAGTGACCTCAACCTGATGGGAAAAGGCGGGAAAATGCCCAGGAGGCGCACAGGAAGTGACCTCAAACTTCAATCCTCACTTCCCTATATAAGCCCAGCCCAGACACTGCCAAATTGCTGGATTATCTTCATTCCCCCCCTGTTCCTGTGCTAGTGTGTGATCTGTCTGAACATGTAGTGAGCCCAGAGTCCAGCGCATCAGAAAGCCCTGAGTCCTGCGTGTCACTAAGCCCTGAGTCCAGCGCGTCACTAAGCCCTCAGTCCAGCGCGTCACTAAGCCCTGTGTCCAATTCATATACTGTTCTGCATTGCTGTATAAATGTATTGCTGGGATTGTAGTCCCCCTACAGCTGGTGCCATTTTGCATTAGAGTGTAAGCTCCTCTGTGCAGAGACTGATGTGACTGCCTCAGTGTTCTCTGTACAGTACTGCAGTATGTCAGAGCTTTATAAATGTATAATGTGGGGGAACATTAGAGTGTAAGCTCCACTGTACAGAGACTGATTGGCCAGGAAGCTGGCTCCATGCTCCCTCCTCATCTCATGATGAGAGAGCATGGAGCCGGCTCCCGGCCAATCAGGAAGCCGGGCGCCGCGTCATTACACGGCGCTCAGTTTCCTGATTGGCCAGAAAGCCGGCTCCAAGGTTGATGTCCTTGGTATTCTGGTGGTGCTCCGTTTACTGCATGTGCCACAGTATGCAAGTGGTTAATCTGCCACAGTATGCAAGTGGTTAATATGATGTTAGTACTGATATGTAATTCCCAGTACCCCTACATTTAATGACTTAAAGCTGAATTCTAGGCATATATAATATATACAGATTAATGCAGCGCTGTAATCAATAATACACCAGTTTTTTGTTTTTTTTAATACAAGTAAGTGTCAGTATCTAATTCTGACCTTGTATCAGCCTTTGGCAATCCCTGTATAGCAGAACTGGAGTTTGAGAGGAAGAAGCAGTACAAGGAGCCATTCAGTTCATGTGCTGACAAGAAACATTCTCATAGGAAGAGAAAGCAGAGAGAGATGAGCTCACTACTTTTCCTTTCACTGTCCAGTAACAGGCTGGGGTGGATCTAGGATATCACAGCAGCCTCTCCGTGTTCTCAGTGTGTAATGACAGATGGCGTCCCTGGTTACCATTACCTGCCATTACTCTCCCAGCCACCCGGGAGAGAAACACTTTCTCCCAGAAATCTATGAGAATAGGCTGAACAGCAGCGAGTAGCCTGCCGGAGGTTCAACTTAGCCGATACAGATGTTGGTCAGAGTCAAACTCCTTCTACACTTCGGTTCGGTCGAACATGCTGAGCATGTTTGGCCGACCCGAAGCCACAGGAAGCCACTGAAATCAGCCATACAAACCTGAAGTGAATAGCCAAACAGCGTTTGTCTCACTTCACTTTGGGCCGGTTAGTCACTCGGCTGCCTACGGCAACTTAGTGAATAGGTCCCTATATCTTTTAATGGGCTATTGATTTTAATTTTGTTATTCTTGTTTATGTGCACATGTAATGTGTTTAAATTACATAATTTGTAGAAAACATGAACACAAACAGTCATCCAGGCAATGTATGGTGTATGTAAAAGGAATGTGTCAGTCATTATTTTGATTACTTACAGAAGAACAGGCTGTGCAATAAGACTCACAAGATGCTTGGTAAGCTCTTACTTTACTTTCCTGATGGGCAAAATTCTCTGTGGCTCTTGTTTAGTAGCATGTGAGATACAGACAGTTGTTGTGTATGCCAGGGCCATTTAAATAAATGGCACAACGTCTTTTAATTTGCCCATTAGTGCCAGGACTGCCAAGACTTCTGTAAAGATTAAAAAATTCACACTTTGGTTTTTTTTTTAGTGTTCAAAGACCAGGTAAACGAAACCAATTAATAATCGTGGAAGAAAATGTTAGAGGGGTAGAGTGGTGCAAAAAAAAAAAAATGTTTTAGAAAATAAAAATAAGGTTATAGACATAAATGCAATACCTGAGAGGCATTCAGGTAACTACTGTAGGTGCATCATATGAAAGCTGCATACATGAAAATTGTTTCCCCCTGACTCAGAAGTAGCCTATGAATGAGATTCAGTTAGTGTTGCTCCATTCCCAAATAAGAATTAGCATGTCTCCAGGGAAAATTTGTTTAAAATGGTTTAGATTGATTTAAACCAAAATCACATACTTATATAGTGAATAGTTATCGCCACTAAACCAGCCATAACATTAACTAAAAACCCAGGTGCATAGACTTTAACAGCATAAACAATGTGTGGAACAATTTTGAGGAGGAGTAGCTAGTTTTATTTGTCTTTTTATGAACCTTGTAAAATGATTTTATAATAGTTTTTTCATTCAGCGTAATTGATTTTCTCTACTGAAAAATACTGTAAAGTTCAATTGTTTACTGTACATCATTATTTCACATTACCTACCTGATGACAAATTTCATGCACAATGACCATGGTGACATCAAGTAAATAGGAAATTGAAGAGATACTTTGATCAAGCAGAATTCGTTGCTCCACAAATACACTTAGTCCCCAGTTTTCCATTGCAGCATAAGGATGTTTAGGCACAGCTAATAAATCTAGGACAGACAGAAATAAACATTGTAAGGTACCAGGATTTTTTTTTATACAAATATTGCAGTTCTGCACAATTGCAAAAAGGAAGAGCGACAATAACAAACAATTATGAAGAACAGGGGCACAATATGGATTTGTCATGCGAAAGTATTTCAGAAGTATAATTGAGCAGATTTAGCATATACAGTTTGCATACCCATATTGAAATTCAATATAGGAAGGAAATAACACAATACATGGTATTTATATAGATATATCTATATATATTTATATCTATAGATATAAATATATTTAGATATATCTATCTATAGATATATATAATAAACGTATTAATATATATATAACCTATGTTGTTTTAACACATTATTTTTGTGCTTTGCCTAAAAATGCACCATGTCTGCATATTTCCTCAACAACACACACCAAAGCTGTTGTATGTTGTGGGCAGGGCACATGGAGAACAATTTTTTCAGCGTCCTTATGTTGAAGAACCATTAGTCCTTTGGCTGACAAAGATGGCTGTCTCTGTGCTTTGCAAGCCTTCTGTTGAAGTTACAACTAAGCTTCCTCCCCCCCCACCAATCCCATACATAAGTTAGCCAACTGATTGACTGGAGATATGGGTTGCTTGCCAAAACCGACCCGTTGGGTCTCCAACACACTAATTAAGGTACACCGGTCTAGAAGCTGAGGGACGGGGACCTCAGACATCTGACTAGTGCATAAACACCTGTTGAATGGCATCCTTCCCACATCCCGCCTATAGATCTGACAGACCACACCACTCTTGTTTGATTAATGGGTATGTTACTGTACTGATATGGGAAATTGTGCAGATTTTTTCTGTATGTTCATTGTATTTCTATGTACGTTCATTATGAAAATTCAAAATAAAGAATGAAAAAAAAAAAAAAAGATTCAAGGGTAGCAACTTGCAGGTTTTAAACCTGATTTTCCACTGCAGTTATGGTGGCTTTTGGTTTTAACTTAATATACAGTGGGGCAAAAAAGTATTTAGTCAGCCACCAATTGTGCAAGTTCTCCCACTTAAATGGGTGAGATCTTGCGTGGAGCCCCAGATCGAGGGAGATTATCAGTGGTCATGTATGTCTTCCATTTTCTAATTATTGCTCCAACAGTTGATTTGTTCACACCAAGCTGCTTGCCTATTGCAGATTCAGTCTTCCCAGCCCGGTGCAGGTCTATAATTTTGTTTCTGGTGTCCTTCGACAGCTCTTTGGTCTTCACCATAGTGGAGTTTGGAGTGTGACTGTTTGAGGTTGTGGACAGGTGTCTTTTATACTGATAACAAGTTCAAACAGGTGCCATTGATACAGGTAATGAGTGCCGGACAGAGGAGCCTCTTAAAGAAGAAGGTACAGGTCTGTGAGAGCCAGAACTCTTGCTTGTTTGTAGGTGACCAAATACTTATTTTCCACCATAATTTGCAAATAAATTTGTTCCAAATCAGCCGATGTGATTTGTCTGGATTTGTTTTCTCATTTTGTCTCTCATAGTTGAGGTCTACCTATGATGCCAATTACAGGCCTCTCTCATCTTTTTAAGTGGGAGAACTTGCACAATTGGTGGCTGACTAAATACTTTTTTGCCCCACTGTATTTGGATATATGTTTGTAAAAACATGTGCCCAAATATCTGAGCATACATAATAGTTGACAGATAATAACCAACAGGAAGCAAGGAGGATTTATCCCACAGAGTCCCAAACAATTTTAACTAAACAGAATAGTTTGGAAAGGAATTCACAGGTTGCCAACCACTGGTATGTTTAACCCAGGTAATACTTCTGCAGGATAAACAGAACATATTATGTCAATACAGAATTTTAGCAAATGATAAATTAACACAATTGACTTATTATTTTCTGTTCTTTTTGCAAGGGAATTTTCCCTTAGCTTAGTGAATGAGGTTAAGCTCTGCTAACTTACATTATCCAATCATGTGCAAGCAAATATACAGTTTTTTTCATTTTCATTCTGTGGCATGTGATTGGGTAATCTTTGTAAAGTCATTTTTTGCAAAGCATTGACTTTATAAAGGTAATCAAGTTGTGAAATTTTACTTATTCCCCCAATCCTTGCAGGTAAGTAATGCTTTGGGTGAGAATAGGCTTCTGGGGGAATTTGAAAAGAAGCATGAATAACGACAGAGTTGTTCATGTAGCAGCCCAGACTCCTTGCTTCACTCTTTGCAAGCAGTGGATGGAGTTTATGAATGGTGGGATAGTCCTAACACACAGCACTTGGCTCCACAGATCAGTATCATGGCATGTGTTTTCAAACTGAGTTGCTTTACACAAGCTGCCAAAGAGACGGATTGTAGGCAGACTGAAAATGGATTGGAGGCATTGGGGCATAACCTCTTCCACCAACTGACATGGGAAAATGCATTGGCAATTTCATCTCTATTTTTACCTGCTTAAATAAGAACACCAGAAAAACCTTTTATTAACTCTTGCAGTTGTATAGCTGTCATAAAAGAACAGCATCTGAGGAATAATCAGACAATTTATATTTTTATTTAGATCTTCAAAAGGAGGTCAGCTATGGTATTCTGGGACTTGCTCTCATGACAGGTTGTCTTTAAAGAAACCACAGATATAAGCTAATGATCACAATGTGTAAAAGTAGCAGCAGACACTGTTGACCCATCATTCACAGCAGGTCATCTGATAAGCAACAAGCAAGGTAAAATGGCTGATAAACCAAGAGAAGCACGACAAGTCAAGGATGGAGTGGCACCCAGGAAAACAGAGTGTTATAAACATTGTTTGAAGTAATATAACTGGAGAGCACTATAGCCAGCTTATAATGCAGTAATATTTACAGGTGTGGCACATCACTCAGCAAGTTTAGAGACTGAACCGAAGAAACTGACAATATAGAATGTCTGCTGTCCTGAAGTTGAAGTACTTTATTGTGTAGTTCATGCTTCTAATTGAAGAGTCCAATCTTTGTGCTGCAGTTGAAGCACAGATATTATGAATGTCTCCTATTGCTGCTGAAATGTTGTTACAATGTTTTATTAGCTCTGAAAATGTGTTTATTATGTTGTTACAAAATTTAAGATGAGCTTATATAGTAAAGACGATGGAGAGAATAAGCAAAATGTATCACCTATGCTCAAACTGAATAGTGGGCCTCCTTCTTTTTAAATAAGGTGCAAATGGACATGATTGTTGACAACCCGAGTTTTAGCAGACACCCTCTTTCCCTACACTCACAGCTTCATGTACTCCTTTCTGCTCAATTTTCACCTAGCCTGCTGCATACACACTCCACTCTGGTACTGCCTAATGTCCATTTGTCCCTCTGTCTGCTTGCTAGGCATCTTTGCAAGCTATGCAACATAGTAGCAATTTATATGCAAAATAAAAAGTAATTTGCAGCAACCAGGAATAATCCAAAGCAATTAGATGGTAACCTTGGATTTTATTTTAATGCTGCTACTTTTTGGCTTTAGATAGGAAGTAAATACAGACTTGAGTCTGGCATCACAGAGCCATTTTCACATTTCAGTTACTGACCTAATAATTCAGCAAACAATTATGGTACACAAATGATACCTTGTGTTTATTTTGCAACAACCAATGCTTTATTTTAGTGACATTGTATTCCAAAAGGTATATAATTTTCTCTATTTCAAAAGTGTACAAAAAAATTTAAATTAAACAAAGTTGCATGTTTTTCTTTGAGGACAAGTGATAATTTCAACAAGTTGAAAGTTTATATTAATTGTGACAACATGTATTATAAATAGTATAATGTACTCATTTATTTCAGTGATTTGTGCCATTTATCATGACACCATAAATATGTTTCTGGTACAATATTATTTACATATAATAAAAGGCAAACAACAAATGCCGATAAGCAGATTTGTTACTCCCTAATAAGTAATTTGCCGCAACCTGGAATAATCCAAAGCAATTAGATGTTCACCTTGGATGGCGGATTTACTCTGCCTTGTAAACAGATCTCATGACCAGATATCCTTTAGACCCTTGGTTCTCAACTGGTGGGTCGTGACCCAACAGTGGGTCGCGACCCCGTGTTCAGTGGGTCGCTGCATGCCTTCCACTTTTCTAGGTGAGAGGCTTCTCAGTCTCCCTCTAGCGCAGCACTGTCCATTCTCACACCGAGTAGCCATTCAAAATATGCTGCCCGGCACATAGTGGCAACTTGGAGTGGGCAGGGGGTATGGCCGCGAGGGAGCATCATCCATACGTGCATTGCTTATAGCTCCCTCACATGTCTTGTAGAGGTGACTAGACCGGAGTGACGTCACATTCTGGCTCCAGGCACCTCTACAGGGTACGCAGGGGAGCTGTAAAAGCAATGCACATATGGATGGCGCTCAGTCACAGCACAGCAGTCCACACTGTGACTTGGGTCGCGACTTAATGACAGAGGACAAATGTGGATCCTGAGGTTACACAGGTTGAGAACCACTGCTTTAGACCCCTTAACTATTCTCTTCCATTGTAGTAGTATACGAACAGACCGCACTATCCAGAGAATTCCAATACTTCAGACTTTATTGAAATTCACAGCAAATTCAGTATAACAGTGAATAAAAGTGTATAAAGCAACAAATGCCAGCATTGCACAACCCCAACCAGCTACAACCTCTCACATGTTTCACCCGTAGGCTTATTCATAGATGTCATTGCAGAGAACATGAGTAGGTCCACCCCCACCCTCTTTCACTGAACACATCCTACACCACTTCTACCCTTGCTGACTAAAGGTAAATGGGCTAATATGCACTAGGCTATTTTATAATAATGGGACAACACACATTCTTTTGGGTAAATCATGTAATCATAAAACTGTCTTTTTTTGTAGGCTTAGTCCTTATTTGGACTATTAAGGGCGACAATTTCAATGATATGTGACAATTCCATGCCCTTTGCCATCATTATATACCAGACAAATGCTTATTAAGTAAGCTTGCTGCTTCAGATTTGCCAATTTACTGG